GACAGATGGATTTTAGTGGTTCTAGTGGTCCATTATGTCATAGATGTAATGGTCGACATTTTGGGGATTACAGATAGGGCAGCAAAGGATGTTTTGTTTGTGGTCAGACGAGATACCGAGCTATTCAATGCCTATAGAGCCAGCAAAAGCCTCAGTCATCTGCCTTACCACCACCAGTTTCTATTCAGCAGATTCCCAGGTAGTAGTTATACTAGACGAGTTATGGTAGAGCATATCATTATCAGGGTGATATAGCTCCATATTCTGGATGATAGTATTAGTACTCGCACGATTCGTATCATCAGAGTGGTTATGCTCAGTATTCAGGAGGTTACCCGCCATAACCATCATATCCAGCTGGTGGATCACAGAGGTATCCAGGAAGACAATTCCAGAACGTTAAGGTTGCTTCTAGTAGTGCAGGATCATCGAGGCAACCTAATCAACCTGCTCAGGGACGAGGTTTGCAGAGACTTGGAAACCAAGCTAACAGAGGTCGTGGAGGACGATAGCAGCTATAAGGTCATGTTCACCATATTACTTTGCAGGATGCCCAGAACAATCCTAATCTTATCATGGGTACGTTGAATATTATTGGCCATGTTGCTAGAATATTAATTGATTATGGTGCCACACACTCTGTTATTTCTCATATGTTTGCTCAGACGATGCAACTTTACCCCACACCTCTTGGCTATAAATTAAAGTTTTTGATGCCTAAAGGTGAGACATGCTATGTTAGCTGGGTATATCAAGGATTTCCCGTTCTAGTGGAGTACATCGTTAGGCTAGCTAATCTTGTTCTATTAGATATTGTTGACTTCGATGTTATTCTAGGCATGGATTGGTTACACTACAATCGTGTCAAGATGGATTGTTATGAGAAGACAATCACTTTTCATCGGTCAGGCTTGCCCGTGGTTACATTTATGGGTGTACATAGTGGACTAAGGCACATTATTATCTCTGCCATGAGGGCTAAAAGGTTATTAAGGAAAGGTTGTCAGTGGTATTTGGCTCACTTGGTATTAAATGAGGATACGCCTACCCGTGTGGAAGATGTACGGGTAGTTAGGCATTTCCCTGATGTTTTCCCGGATGATTTACCTAGATTACCACCAGATAAAGAAGTGGAATTCACTATTGATTTACTCCCAAGTACAAATCCTATTTTCTTAACTCCCTATCGAATGGCTCCTGCGGAGTTGCGGGAATTGAAAACCCAATTGCAGGAATTGGTTAATAAGGGTTTTATTCAGCCCAGTAATTCACCTTAGGTCAAGGCCAAGAGCCTCACACGCTCACGATGAATGGGAAGCTTTGGCAGAAGAACCTTTGATGCCAAAGTTAGAATTTAGAGAGAAAAAGTATTTGGAGAGTTTTTGGGCGTTTTGCAAGAGTGTGGAATATGTTTTTGGTGAGAATGGGAGCCAATATATTGGGCATGGCCGGTCCCTTTTGGAGAAGGAGTGGTCGACCATTAGGTAGGGTTTTTTAGGTTTTATTTTGGTTTAATTAGGGGTTATGAAATAATTAGCTAATTAATCAAAATAACTCTCTAATTAACTTAGCTAATTATTATCATAAAAAGGAAAGATGTGGTAGAAAAGGTATGAGGCATGGCTAATTTCCTTGGTGTGGAGGATAACCGGCCTTTATGGTGTTTTTTGGATATAATGGATGGTTTAATTGACAATTAATGGGTTAATTAGGTAATAAACCCATTAATTAGCCAATTAACATAATTTAAAAGGAATGTGTTTGAGAATTACCTTGTAGGAAGGATTTGATGTGGTTGGATGAAATAGGTTTTGAATTGTTACCTGTTTTGGGCAATTTTGACTTGGTTGAAAGATGATTCTCCATTACTCGCGCGTATGAATCCCAATGCACCTTAAGGGTATTATTGTCCTATGTGGTTGGATGAAAAAGGTTTTGAATTGTTACCTGTTTTGGGCACTTTTGACTTGGTTGAAAGATGATTCTCCGCTACTCGCACGTATGAATCCCAATGCACCTTAAGGGTATTATTGTCCTTTTTTATCCAAAGATCCACGTGTCGCCTTGTGATTATTTTTGGCTCCACAAATACCCCCACACCTGTTCGGCTGCTCGCAGGAAAAGGCAGTAAGTGTAGAGATCTTCTTGCTTCAGGAAACATAGGATTGTTTCCTATTTTGATGTTGATTCTCTCTTTAATATGAAATTAGATCCTTCTAGGAAAGGGAAATAAATTTCTCTCAAAGCCTATTTAAGTTCACCTTAAGTGGATTATTAAGTCAACTTTGGAGAGCGATTTATTCTACCCAACAAGAGAGAGAGAGCTTAGAGGATATTTGTTCCCCCTTCTCTAGCAATCTTCTACATCTTGTTCGTGCAAATGACCGTTTTTCGTTGATTTCTTCATCTTCTCTGTGCCACATCGATGTAAGAAAAAATTTAATTTTTTGGATAATGCTATTGCGGGGCAGCCGTCGGGGTAGTGCGGCATGTCGGTCGGCAGGGGCCAGGAGTAGGCTAAAGAGGTGTTGTGGCAGTGACCATTGCTTTGGGCTGCTCAACTTAGCTAGAGCCATGGACAGCTTGTGCAGCTGAGGCCATAGATTGAAACGCTGGGACGTAGTGCTAGACGAGCTGCATGGCTCATGTCTTTTGGACTCTTGGTCCTGACACGGGCTAGGTCGGTGATTGAGAGAAATGAGAAGGTCGCAGGCCTCATAAGCTGCTGGAATGCTGGGCATGCAGGCCTCATACCTGCTGGAATGCTAGGTTGAACTCCATTGCTGAGTACCGTGAATGGCATTGGCTGCTTAGTTCTCTTCACTGAGAGAAAGGTGGACTGCCCCGAAAGATGAGGTAAAAAAGATCAAGGCGGATGCATTGGCTCATCTGATCGCTGTCGTGGAGCCCACTATGAATGAAGGTGGAAAAAAGAGATCTTCCCCGCCTGCTCAAGAGATGACGGTTGAGAAAAACTGAAGACTTCCTCCATTGCTCATGAGGGTCTGCCTGCTACCGAGATACCTGTGATTAACGTAACTTTTTCCAATGGGAAGAAAAAATGAGGTTGCTAGATCTGTGCATGTGGCACCTGCCATGTCGAGAATGGCTAGTATGATTGTTGATAGGATTGTTCAGCGTAAAGGTCCTGTCATGCCCCTAGTGCCGAAGTCTGTACCAAGATGTCTATGGGGAGCTAAGTCTGGTTCACCTTTAGAGAGGCTTGCTACTATGAATAATGATAAGGTGGACTCTGCTGCTAAAGTGGCGCTAAGGCCCACTCCCTTTACAGTTGAGACTGATTTGCCCATGTTGAACAACAAAAATATACAACATAAAAAAAATAGAGTCCATACAAATTGGGTCGGACTATAAGGCAAAACAAAGATGTAAACCAGCCCAAAAGTTAAGAATGGGCTTTATATACAAACCAAATATCCATAAACAAATAAATAAAATATAAATAAGTAAATAAGAAAAATTTCCTACAAAAGGGGGAAGTAATAAACAGGTTCCCCCCTTTCCTGCAACAAAAAAACATGGGGTCAGTTAAGAGAGGTTAAGAGAGAGTGGTAGGAAGTCATGCCCTCCATCTTCCCCCCACATAACAAGCTCTAGAACCCTCTTATGATGCCTATAAATAGGCATCAGCTGCAACAAGAGAGCGGGGACAGAAAAAAGATAGGGGATACTCTGCTAAAAAAATAGAGAAACATTGAGAGAAAATACTCAGAGCAACGAAGTGCTGCCAAAAAGAGAAGGAATTCAATCGTTCGAGTCAAGAACCAAAGAAGAATATTCATCACCAAGTATGAAACAAGTTATATTTAAATTATTATTTTTCTCTTGTTTCGTTGTAGGAAGAACAAAAAACAGAGCAACGTAAAAAGCGTTGCAGCATAGACCACCATAGAGAAACAAATAGAAGGAAAAAATAAAAGAAAGGGAAAGAATATGCAGAGGTCCACAACAACGGATTTGTTTTTCCTAATCTTTCTTTTAGCCTTCTTGATTTTTTTTTTGTTTGGTATTTTCTTGCACCAAACAAATGGAGGTGAAGACTTTGAACAACCTAACTCCCCACTAACTGCAGCAGAAATAATCTCCAAGGATCCCATAAATTTCTTTGGGGTGGCCTAGATCACTCCGTGAAATTTTAACCAAGTCTAAAGGGTCTATACCCCCTCACCGGACTGTCATGTGCAATTTCAAAATCCCAAGCTTGGTTTCTGTAAAGAAAGACAGCAAGGAAGAGACAAGGAAAAGAAAAAATACCACATGACTGACTCATGGTTGGTCCAATTCCACAAGAAGAAAAGTTTTCAACACAAGACAAATAAAAAGAGGAAGGAGACGTGAAGAAGTTTCAAGGGGTCAAAGTTTCAAAGTTTCAAAGTTGGGACAAAAGGAAAAGGTTCACAGTTTCAAGCTTCTCTGCCATGTGAAAATGGGACAAAAGGAAAAGGTTCAAAGTTTCAAGCTTCTTTGCCATGTGAAGTTTAAACTTGAAAAGGACAAGTAACTACTATGTTCAGGCCGTGTAAAACACTTCAAAGACAAACCATATTTACTCATGCCTACTAAAGACAAAATGTTATGGAGGGCTAATATTGATGAGAAGGAAAAACAAGCAGGACAAAACTACTATTAGCACGGTTATTATAAAACCACCCACGGGACATTCAAATGGAAAAGTATAATTCCCAATCTTTAAATAGCTAAAAGAAGGTTCAAAGCCTTCTTTGTCACGTGAAGATGGGACAAAGATTTTCATTGTGTCAAAAAATTTCACTTGCTGCTTTGCCATGTGAAGAAAAAAAAAAGGTTCAAAGCCTTTATATTAAACACTTGCCATCCCAAATTTACAAAGAGGGAAAAGCTTACTGCCAAATTTCCCATATTATTTGGGAAACCCATTCACATGGTAACCTTTGTATTAAACACCAAGAAGACTTGGTAGACAAATCAAAACTACAGAAAGATTTTTGGGAAAAGGCATCACACTGTACAAATGTTAAAGAGAAAATATGGCAAGTATCGAAGGCGCAACATGAATGGGAACACAAAAAGGGTGTCAAAATGACACTGTCAAGGCCAGTCAAGTAAAATCTCTTTGTGGAAACAGAAATACCAGAGTGATAATTGCACACGAATACATCAAAACTCATTCAAAATATGGCAGATATTATGAGTGCGTTACTACAAATTTCAGAGTACAACTTTCACCTTTGGAGCCATGAATCAACAATTGTCTTCAACTAACTCAGGGCTGCAAAATGGTTTGTCCAACAACCAATCGAAGAGATGCCGTTGCATGTGACTCCTACATGGAAAAAGTTAATAAATTTATCACAGTTTAATAGCTTCATTCCACCCCCAAAGACATAGGCAAATCCAGAACTTAAAGAAAAGAAAATGGGTAACCTACTTGATAAAAGGAAGCACAAGCAAAGTGGCGAGCTTTCGATCCACAAAAAGAAGAACAAGCAAAATGGCAAGAGCAAGAAAACGAGGCAGCAAAAAAGCTGAAAGCTTTTGTGACCTGTGCAAAAATGGGTTTGCGATTTAAGGAGAAACGGTGGTAAATTGAAGTAATTTGAACAAAGAATCTGAGCTCCAACAAACCTTACCCATTTTTACTCTGAAATCAGCAGATACCCAATCCAAATAGAAGTCTGAAATATAACGAAATCCACGGGAGCCCAAGTATATCGGATTAGCTTTTTATTTCCGAAGGGAAACCACCGGGTTTCAGAGCTAAAGAGAAAAGGGAATGTTGAGGCCACCCTGTGGAGGGGGGTGATTATTGATCTGCACCTGACGTGGGAATTGACAAAGTAAGGAAGGAGAAATGGTTCACGTGGGAATTGGTAATGAATGGGAACAAATTGACAACGGTCCCAGAAAGTAAACAAGAAAAAAATAGGCAACCTCACCTCTTTGATACCAAACAAAAATTAGGAGAAAAGAAGTCAAAGCACCACTGAAGAAAATGGTGATGTGACGTGGCAATCAAAACAGCCAATTCTTTTGCCAAAAGTAGAGTATATCTACAACCACCAAAATGCACCATGCTAAATATTAGTCTGATGCTAGACTACATCAAGTTAGCTGTTACTTGCCTTCAAATCATGAGGCTAATTGAATAAACCAAATTCTAGTGGTACGAAACCACAAAAATTCTTCAATGGGTCACCCACCTATTCAATCAAAATTCCAAAATTCAAATCTCAAAATCCAAATTCCAAGTTCGTTCAAAATCAACACAAGGGCTCTAAAACCCTTCTAAATTGTTATACTTAAAATTCTAAATTAATGGGTCATTTACCTATTAATTATACAAATCCAAATGGCTTCTCATTTTTCCAAAGGTCCGAACACAAGATCAAATCAAACTTTATGAACTACGCCGGTTTGATTCCGTTAAGGATATGTACGCAGTCTGATATCAAATTATAGACGCAACCGTGAAATCAAGACGAATCCCTAGTTTATATAAACTAAATTCACTTCTAATTACAAATTCTATGAAGAGTAAAAAAGAAGCGAGCCGGTTCAAATTACGAATGATGCGAAGCCGTTTCAAATGGTACAAAGTCGTTTCACATTACAAATGGCACAAAGCCACATCAAATTCCAAATGGCATGAAGCTGTGTCAAATCCCAAAAGGCATGAAGCTGAAGAAAAATCTCAAATGGCATGAAACCGAATCAAAAGCTCCAATGGCTTAAAGTCCTCGCCTGCAAGAGCCTAAACTGCACAAGGCACGAACGCTCCAATGGCGCAAAGTCCTCACCCGCATGAGCTAAAACTGCATAAGGTATCAAATCCAAACAAGTATCAAGCATACATGAACTACGAGTGACTTGATCCCTCAAGAGGGTACGTAGGGAATCTAGGGTTCGACCTAGGTGCAGTCACAAAATCAAACAAACACCAAAATCCTCAAGTTACATTTTATTCGAATTGGAATCAAAAGGTATTCCTTTCCCAAATGAAGGGTTATAATTAATAGGCGCATAGCCTAAAATGGGTCGAACTCGAATTAATAAAACCCTCTTCAGAAAAATGAACGAGGGTGAAATTGTGTCAAGTGAATTATTTGTTTACATATTATGTACAATTTTTGCTCAACAGCCCGCTAGGAAGGAAGAGACTACTCGCGTGGGCAGCTGTGAGAAATCCATTAAGCCTGCTTCTAGGGAGGCTGCTGAGATTTGTGTGTTTTTTAAACTAGATCTGCTTGAAGACATGGACGTTTGTGCTAAGTTTGTTGATGGCGATAGAAATGTTGTTTGCCCAAGTTCCTTTGTAAAGCATATGACCCAATATAGAAGGACTGCTCTGCTTGCTATGATGCATATATAGCAAGGTTGCCAAGAAGGTAGTGAAGACTATGGCAGCTGAAGCTTATTCCTCAGCCGAGGAGATCAAGAGGTTGGATTCTTAGCTTGTTGTTTTGAAAGGGTCTAATATTTCTGCCCCCACTTCTCTATAGCTTGAGACTGTTCGCCAAGATATTGTTGACTTGAAGACCAAGCTTGACACGATCTAAGTTAAGTATGAAAGTGCAGAGAATGAGATTGGATGTTACATACCTCATATTCAAGATCTTGAGTTTGCAGTTTCTAAGCTTCGTTTCGCTGCTTATGTAAAGGATGATGAGTCGATTGTTGCTTATAATCAAGTGATCCACTTCAAGAAGGTTGTTGATAGGCTTGAACCCCAAGTGTTGGAACTTCAAGGTGTATTGAAGATCAACAAAAGTTCAAAGAATGAAGTGGATGAGCTACAATGCGTCCGTGTTGGTCTGCTTAAGAAGAATGAGCAATTGAAGGGTGAGAAGGTTGGGCTTGAGGTTTCGAGACCTTCTCTATTTCTCCGGAAGACTTACTTGCTTTTACTTTTGAGGCTTCCATTGGTAAAGTAGTTGGAGAAGTTAGTGCCTAGGCTGGGGTAGTCGGAGGAGAGGCGCCGGATGATACCGCTGCTGAGAGCGTCGCAACTGCTGAAAGTGTGGCAATCAAGTAGTCGTGGGATGTCCAAGCTGTTGTAGTCTTTTAGGTAGCCTTTAAGATTTTATTTGTTTTTCCTTCTAGCTTTTGTTTTGCTTGAACTCCTTCGACCTTTGCTAATTGTTTATAAACATGCTTCTTTCACTTTTCTTCATCTTCACTTCTTTTGTTCATGCCCTAACCTTTAGACTTGATAGACCAGTGGAAAACATGATACTTTTTTATAAGCAGACAAGCTCGCATAGCCTATGCAGTCGTAGGTGTTGATGTAGAACTTTGCCAAGTTGTTAGCCATAGGGTTGGCAGCCGGATGCCTTGCTTACAGAAGCAGACAAGTCCACGTAACCACTAGGTTATTCCTTGGCTTTCTCCAATTGCGTAGGTTGCGTAGCAAGTATCACAACAATTTAGGACTTGGTGTAGGTTGTTCCGCGCTTGGCAAAGGTGAAGCTTATCGACTACGTAACATGTCGGCAGTGGATAAAACTTCGTATATACACGCTAGCTTGTTTAACCTTTCATAAGAATGTGCGGTTGTATAAGTCTAGCACAGCTTTACTGCTCGAAAGGCAAGCCGTAGGCAGTCTTCCAGAAACCGTAGGATACCTTAGTGCACTCGGTAGCAGTTTTCAGGTTCCAGGGCAGCCGTCTGTAGGGCATATTGCATAATGTGCTCCCTCCTTCTCTAGGGCCCGGTTCCTCGCGGATTAAGCCAAGAGACCCAAAATTCTTAAGTTAGCTAAACCTTGAAAAAGACCATTGTGGCTACTTTTAGGAATCCCAACGTAAGCCATCGTGCATCTAGCCAGCGTAAGCCATCGTGCATCTAGTTATACTAAGGCAACCAGGCTCATCCACATCTAGATATTCGGAGTGTAAATTTTATCCTCTTGTCTTGGAGAGCTGACCCATGTGGGTGTCGAGGAATTGGTTTACCCTATCGCACTGGAGAGCATGGTTAATCCCTCGAGAGGTGCAATTCCTGCGATGAATCCCTAAGAATGGCACAATCTTCTTTTGAAATGCAAGAGTGATTAGTTGTTGTAAGTTGCAGCCAAGCCAAGTTATGATTACTTCTGAATTCCTCATTGAAAAACGAGTGAAACAAACGAGAACTTAGCTGTAAGGTAGAAACTGTATAACAACTAGATAGTCTTCAGCTTGTGAGGTGGTGCCTGTCGAGCTGCTTGAGTCTTCGGGCTTTGATGTAGCGGGAGGTCACACATGGTACTTCCTTAAATTGTAGGCGTTCCACTATTTTTCGATCTTTTTGTCGTTTCATGGTGGCAAGGGTGTAATTACTCTTACTACCTACTATGTTGATCTTGTATGGATCTTCCCAAATAGGATCTATCTTTTTGGAGCCTTCTCCATGGGCAGTGATGAAGGCTTTTCTTAGGACTAGATCTTCGAGCTAGAACTGCCGGACCTTAGCCCTTTTATTGTAGCTGGAGATGAGCTTCTGTTGGTAGGCTGCAAGATGAATGATGGTATGCTCACGCTTCTCCTCTGCCATATCTAAGCTTGTGACCATTTCCTTACTGTTCTGCTCAATGCTTGGTAGTAGAACGGTGATACTTGGCTTGATGACATTGGGATAAATGATTGCTTCCGAACCAAATGCCAAAGAGAAATGAGTCTCACCAGTTGCTTGTCTTTTGGTGGTGCAATATGCCCATAAACATCCGGGGAGTTCATCTGGCCATTTTTCCTTCTTGTTGGTGAGGGATTTCTTGAGGCAATTGAAGATCATTTTGTTGGATGCTTCGACCTTCCCATTGCTTTGAAGATATCTCGGCATAGACATGTGCTGCTTGATGCCATATTCTTAGAAGAACTTATCTAAATCTATGCCCAGAATTACGGGCTTCTTCTCCGCCAAGTCTTTTGCCATTCGGATGCCTGCTAGTAAGGCCTCGTACTCTACTTCATTGTTAGATGCTTTGAAGCTTAGAGTGATTGACTGCTCGAGCATTGAGTCGTCTAGGGTGACAAGAATCACGACTGCTCACGAGCCTTTGTAGTTGGATGTGCTGTCGACATGCAAATGCCAGAAATCTCCATTGAGGGAGCAGGTGCGGCTAAAGTGTAATCGGCTGCCTTCGGGGCGTCGTTGGGCCACTATGTTAGGTGGTCAAAGCTAGGCGTGAATGCGTGGTAGGGATCTATAGAGCTGGGGCCATGTTACATGTAGTAGGAGATGCTCAACTACCAGTATTGGGCCACTCTAGAGCTGAATAATGGAGCAAGGGTTGGCTAGGGCATTGTGACGTGAGCGGGAAGTAGTGCTGAACTACCGATACATGTTGCTCTTATGTAGAATCTTTTGGGGCGACGATGACAAAACATGCTTCTGAGTGTTCCTTCCAGTGTTCATTGCCTTTGGCGTGTCTTTTGGGTCGAGTTGTTGCATTCATCAGAAAACTTTGCATCTGCCAAGGTCTACGCCTTTATCGTCGCACGTCTAGATTCGGTAAAATAGTATGTCATGATGATGACTGTGTGAGCTTGAAGTTAAAACTTGAGCTTCTGGGTTACAACAACTATCGCCAAAGTTAGCTTTTGAATTTTTAATAACAGCGATGAGAGCTTTTGAACTGTAGAATACAAGTAGTCGGGTCCTCAGCCCTTCTCGTATGATAATAGAGCTTATTGCTGCTTCAGATATCGTCAAACATGCGAATGAGTCATCCGCTGCTTCCAATTTGGATAGTAGGGAAGTGATGTCGGGTACTTCTTCAAGTCCTTAAATGTGCATTGGCGTGCCTCGTCCCAAAGTGCATGCTTTTCTGCCAAAGTGAAAGAGTCTGCCAGAGTTAGATCTTCTTTCATGATCAATTTTCTGAATAGCGGGTGGTCTGCTGAAAGTCATTTTTGGAAGGCTGCTCTAGCTA